GACCAATAACTCTCTTTCCGGTGCTATCTAAAGTCATAGAGTTTATGAATGCCGAAGCGCTCATGAATTATTTGGAAGCATGAAGAAGAAGATGAAGAAGTAATCGAACAGCAATGATTTCGCCAGAACCGGTGTTGCACCACAAACCTGGAGTTTGCTCGCTCCAGTTGGACTGCAATTGTTGACAGCGATGTTGCAGTTGACGCAGTTTATCTGGACTTCTCAGACCTTTGACCGTCTGAATCATTGTATCCTCATTCAAAAGCCTCATTGTGGTGAAAATGGCAACCCAATTCCCCGGCGGATAGATAACTTCATAGTTCAAAGACATCTGAATGCGAGCTTTCAGAGCGCCATTTCTGACCCTATCGATGCTTGGTGCGGAGTGCTACAGGGCGCAGTAATTGATCCATGCCTAATCCTGTTTCACATAAACGATCTACCATTTACTTACTCTTCGCTGATGATCTCAAGATATGGCGGGCCATCAAAACAACGAGTGACCACATACCGCATTAGGATGACCTTGAGAGGGTTTACGCATGGGCGACTCAGAGCCTGCTAGATTTCAACACCACCAGATGTAAGACATCGAGTGTAGGCCATCAATCCATTTGCCAGTACAGGCTGGTGGATCAAGCTTTGCGGCGTGCTACTACTGAGTGCGATCTAGGACCGGACTGTTCGCGTCAGATCAAGAAGGCGTCCAAAATAGCCAACCAACACCTTGGCCTTTTGCGGAGAGCGTTCGGGCTTTTTGACCGTTCAATCTTCTCTCAGGTGCTGAATGTTCACATTAGACCCCATTCGTAATACCCCTTTCACACTTGGCAACCCGGGCAAAAGCACGACCCCACCGTACTTGAATTGTCATAACGAATTGCGACCAAAAACCTCCATGGTCTGTTTCATCTCCCTTACCAACTGAGGTTGAAATCCCTTGGGGCATAGAGTGGATAATGTCAACTTATGTGTGGCGTTTTGATAATGACATTTTTGATCCACAAGAATCCAAAATATTATTGTACTCATCTGCTGAAGCTGAATCAAAATATTACTCTGAGAGGTCACTAGCTAATGCTGATCACACAGTATAATCGGTTGGATTGTCGCCAGAATTTTTTCACTTCGAGTGTCCCAAACTTGGAACGCCCTCCTCACTTACGTTGTTTCTTCCCCCACACTAACGTGTATGCACAACTACCGCCTAGAACCACAAATTCTACAGCGGGCTTTTCACGAGTGCGATCTCGGCGTGCTACCTCAAGACGACCTCGGTTGTTCGAGACAGACTGAAAAGGTAGCTAAGAAAGCGAACCAGTAACTCGGCCTTCTACGCAGAGCCTTCGGGAAGTTTAACCCTTCAATCTTTCAAAAATGCTTGGTGCGTACGTGAGGCCGCACGCGGAATACGCTATTCAAGCGTGACAACCCTGGCTCAAGCACATTCTCACCTCGCTCGATACTGCACGACGCAGGGCAACGAAGAACGTCAGAGGCTGATGACCCTCAAAATATACAGTGGATGTTATCGGTGTCTAAGGGGCGATCTCATAATGGTGTACCAGATCCTGAGAAACCCCAACCACTCATGCCATTCTCTTCTAATACTCAGTCGAAACACCTCGCTAAGAGGTCACCAGTTGAAGTTAGTCACACAGTACAGCCGCCTAGAATGTCGGCGAAACTATTTCTCCCTTCGAGTGGCACAGCCTTGGAACGCCCTCCCGGAACATGCAATTAATGCACCCACCCTATCCCTTTCCAAAAAGCACCTTGACGATACTCTGTCACATTTACACTACGTGCTGTAGCCCATGACCACCAGATGCTGGCACTAATGCACAACTGACGGTGGATAGTGCCATAACCCTACCTGAGAATGAGTCACTCCAAACGCCTTGCACGAAATTTGATAAACGCTACTACTATAGAAACTGGATTTCTGTATCCTGTCGACCCAAGATAGTTGCACACGAGCAAGCGTTGTCTTTGCTATCTCTTTTTATTTTTCTCGCCTATTATGTGATCAATAACCATTCCCCTTATTGCTTTGTGTGCGTACATTCTCATTTCAAACTCCCTTTGTACGACAGTGCAGTTACATCTGTAATCGCCCGAACTGACGACTCCATTATCCCTTGGCTATCTTTTTTGTCACTCTATCCACCCTACGGGACATGTCAAGCACCTGCTTTCTTACCCGTTATAAATCATTGTTCATTGTATCCAAAAACGTCTTGAAGATGCGCTCATACATTTACATTACACCATATTATCCACTATATCCAGGCGTCAACCTAACACTACAAATCAACGTACGCATTTTCACTTTCCGCACATAATTTTGTTACATGCTGCCACTATTGTGGCGACTGGATTTACCTATCCCGTCGGCCCAAGAGTACTGCACAAGAGTAAGGATTGTCATTTCGCTTATTCGTTCTTTTCTCATGTATTACCTGAAATGTAAATGCTCCCCCTATTGCTTGGTGTGCGTACATACAGTTCTCATCTCAAACTACTAGTATACAGCATCGCAGTTAAATCTGTAGTCGCTTAAACGGACGATTCACTTATCCACAGATCTATATATCTTCTCATCCCAACCACCCTACGGAAATTTGCAAACACCAACTATTTTACCCGTGAGAAAGCATTGTTCGTTGTTCAGCAATTGAAATCGTCAAGATTAGTGTTAAACAATTTGTGACAAGACTAAACCTACTCAACATTTCACAACTCAGGTTCACTATAAAACCTTCCTGTATCGCATACCAAATGAAGTTTCCATCATGTTACCTCAGCAATTGGCGGCGGTATGGACATCATCAGCTTTCCCTTCTGTCCCCAGAAGTGTCACTAGTATATCGTTCAGGGGAGTCTTTTTGGTCCATTGTATTTTCTCATTTACATAACGGATATATGTGACTACATTAGACCTTGGCGCCCATTTTTATTTGCAGTTGATCTCAACCTACTGTCCTCATTTCCACCTTAGCATCTGGAGCTATGTACGAAAAAATATGCGAAGATTTATAATCCATAAATAAACAGAATGAAAGCAAACCCACGAAGTTTTCAATTCGGATACTGTGCTGCAAATAAGGTATATCAAGCGGATCCATTTTAAAGGTGGTACTCCGTTCGAGACATGTGAATTCGATACTCGGACAGCTCCAACTTCTCCACTCATTAAAACTCGGAGAACAATACAGTCGTCTGGAGTGCCGCAGGAATTTCTTTTCCATTCGTGTCTGCCACCCGTGGAGTGCTCTCCCAGAATCGGTCGTCTCTGCACCGACACTAACAGTATTTAAAAGACGGTTGGACGACGCACTCATCAACTTACACTTTGTTACTTAACACCTGGAGGTTACCATGGAATTATTTGTTGTTAAATGTAGATGCTGTGAATCTAAGAGGATCGCAGGACTGCGGAGAAGCAAACGATAAGTCCTTATTTTCATATTCAAAGTAGTAACTATTTTACTATCCTTACCATCATTATTGTTATGTTGATATCCTCAAAAAATATCCAACGGGACTTGTAAAGCAAGGCTTTTTAACCCGTATAAATTCATTGTTCATTGTTCAAACACATCCTACATCAAGTCGCGAAGGCAAAACGACTAACAAGCCACATCACTAGGTCACGTTTATTATTAGAACCACGGCTCGAATCATACAAACATACTACGACTCACACTAGAGTCACGGAACACTACACACATCTATTTTTGACAGATGGACAGAACTGCTTTGGAGAACGTCCAGCGCTAGTATTGCAACATTATTGTGGAGCGCTCATCAACGCATATCAGTGAGGAACGATCTTACCTGCTCGACTTAATGTGGCTTCGACTACTTAGGGTCAATCTCACTCCTCTCCACTGTATCATACATTTGCGAATCTTTTCAACCAGTACGGCTGTGGCTTGACAAAATTGCTAAACTTATCCCAACCGTAATGGGAAATATCTGCTATTCATACAAAAAATCAAGTAAAAATATTGGTCTTAAAATTCTTCCTGCTGAGGTACTTTTACCTGTGGAATTAACTATCGTTACAAGGACCACCGCGAATTTGTTTACCTTTAGGTCTCATGTAAAAAGACATTTTCCAGGTAAAATGCAGGCAAGCGTCTCGGTCTTTTGAACGCTACGAGCTCACTGGTGGAATCAAGGTCCGAAAAACATGCGACAATGTATTGCATTACTGATCCAAGTTACATACAAACTTCATAATTGAAACGCCGATGAAGCTCGTTGTAAAAAGACTGTTCTGCAAACTGGAACGTATCTCACCTGTAGGGTAATATACGCATTTATTTATTAAGCTTTCTTCTCTGCATATTGCGGTTCTAGTGAGTTTTGCTAGCTAAACCTACATTTGACTGTTCACTGACTTGTTGATTGACTCAGACTGCACCGCAGCGGGCTGCTATTCTCATGATTTTACCCAACACAACCTTTTGGATGGTCAATTACTGAGTCCAGTTGAATGGATGTAATTTGATTACTCGCACAGTCAACTGGGTCGGATGTTTTAGGCATTACTCAAAATAAGGGACCCGGCGTGAGCACACCGTTGGCCTAATTAGCCAGACAAGTAGGTATGCTAAGCACAGATGGTAGCAACTGAAACCCATTCCTCACGAGATATTACCCAGTTCACTCGCAAATGCATAGTTATTTAAAGCAATCAACAGACCGTTCGCTTTGTTTGTCGGACCAAAAGGTCAAAACCTTCCGTTTGGCAACTAACATTTGCAAATCTTTTGTGTCAAACATTCTTTGAATCCTTATTCACAACCAACCTTGTCTGGATTCAAATTACTTAGGACGAAGTGATAAGGACGCGGAGTTATCTATAAGCTCTTTACCAAGAAGTACTTATCAAATAACTCCCCAGCTTTTTTGCAACCTCCGTTTTGGCTACTCACCTCATTGCTTTTCGTGGTCGTAAATTAGTAGTTAGGAAAAATGTACACCCATACCTGTGTTCCAACTCTTTGAGCACCGGTGTGCAGTAACTGGCAGTGAGTAGATTCCGTCTCTGTTTAATACACTCCTTTACAACCGTCGGATGAAATTTCCAGGGCACCATGCTGATGACCAAGTCATGTTCTCGCATCAGCTTCCCCAGTTTTTCTTTATCCTTCAGCACATCCAACTTTCGCATTGTCAGATTTGTGAACTGAGAGCTGATGGTAGATAACTCCTCTTGCGAATTGGACACTGATAAATAGGTAGAATGTAATGAAACTGTTTGTATGATAAACTAGGATGCACTGGTTAGAGAACAAAAGTCGGAAACCCGGTACTTGGCGTCCATCCGCCGTAAATCTGTTCATCACAAGAAAAGCGGCCGCTTATATTCACCATTACCATGGAAGACTGAGCTTAGCAAGCCTTCTACTTGTAAGGAACGTAATTTTTCTTGTTTTCTTTAATGGTGTTGCATGAAACTTATGCAGAAAACTCCATCGGCACCGAGTTACAACTCGGTAAAAGCATTGTCGTAGTTTGTAACTCCTTACGCTGTTCAAGGCAATATCTGTGATCCCGCGGTGTTTCGCTAAGCGTACAAGTTGGTATTTTCATAAATCGCATTCTTGCTAACTTAATGTTCAATTGGAGGAAGCAAACAATGTGCACCTTAGGATGTGTTCGCCTTGGCATTTCGACTAATCTGTTCAGTAGCCTAATACGATACATAAGGGATAAAATTGGTTAGACAGGTTCTCAAAACATCCACTGAGCTACCCGCCTGTCGCCTCATATTGCATTAGCCGTCCGATGAACCTCCGACCTGTAATAAGAGATGAGACGAATTAGCCTGACGTGGTTATATACTGTTGTTGTTGTTTTCGCTGAGATGGCTTCATTGTACGAACCCTTTATCTTTGAAGAGTTAGAGTTCTGTAAAAACTCCACTAGTGTAGGAGGGAGGTTGTAGCAAGTAGATAAAACCTTGGAATGGCCGCGGACTTGATTAGGGGGGAATGATTTGTACAACGCAGCCCCTCCAAAATGTTGTAACTTCAATTGGACTGCGTGATCCTCAGTTGCGTTTTCTTGGACCAGTCAAGTACACAAGAGCAAGACAGCTCAACTTTTACTTATTGGTTAACTAGCTTGTTTTACCTCATAACACACAAAAGAAGGTGTAGAATCTCGCTCAAAATACGGGATTTGAGCTACTCAATAGAGGTTCCATGCATTCTGACCTGGGCTTTGGTTTGTAACTGTACTGAGCGGAAGTTCCGATCCGAAACCCCTTAGTGCGTTGTACACTTGAAGAAGAATAGATGAGTTACTTCCGGCTTAGGGACATTCGATTTCACTTAGTATAAAACTCGATATGTCTGGTTCCTCGGTAGGTTCGGCCTCACGACATAAGCAGGTTAACAAAGAAACAAACGGTGTCACACAAAAAACATTTCTTCAAAATTTCCACGCGGTTATTTTTCTCTAAGTACTGTAAAGTGGCATGAACAAACAATGACCTTGCGTTTATCTGTATTGAGTTTCGGTCACCCGCACAAAGCACTGCTCTCCACGTCCAAATTCGCACTTATATACAATAAGTAGGTAGAGATAGCAGAGACTGCCCGTCGGGCTCCATTAAAATACTGTGTTCCAAAACGATCCCACCAAGCAGCCATTAACTTTTGTGCTAATTGTTTTGGTACGACTCGGTGTCTAAGGTGCGGTGTCTCGGTTGACCCTACGAAGATCTGGTGTTCGAGCCGTGGTGCTGCTATCCTTACCTGAGTACGGAGCCGCACATATCTCAGATATTATCCTATCGGCCGAACTGACGAGCTTTCACTTTAAGCAAATTTGCATTTCTGATTGAGGTTTGCGCATCCTAATCCATTCACACAACCCGGGCTTCAAAAACTGACCTCTCTAGCCGATTTTGTTTGCTTATTCGGTCACTTGCATACATTCAGGAGTCACATAAACTGAATGCGGACTAGCGAGGATCAATCGGGGCGGTAAGTTTAACAGACACACGGGGATAACCTTAAATGTTCTATTGATAAAAGCAGAGGAAAAGAAGTTGACGTCGAAAGGCCTTATAATAATGCTCCATATTGATGCGGGCAACGAGGGTGCTGGTTAGGTAAGAACCAACTTCTTCTCTGAGAATGCGGTCTGAGGCAAACAGAGACCTTTTGGGTTATTCATTTGTAAAATATAGATAATAATGGATATCTTTGGTCTTAGCACTACGACATCATGGGATTGCATAGCGTTGTCTCTACAGATGGCGGTTACAATGCGGTTGTTTAATGATCCAGCCGTACGTCAGCAACTGACCTTCTTTATAGATTCCATAAACCGGAATCTAAGTTGCCATCGTTCGTTCCTTCGGCTGAGAAAGTACCGGACTATTGGGGTAAATCATCATCATCATCATTATACACGTCGGCTAGAGGTGGGAAACACCTCAGCTACTGTGCCGCAATACATAAAGGAAAAGGAAAATAAATACAAAAGTTGCATGCCAGCTGAGCTACCAGCAACGGATAGGCATCGTTCCGGTAAGCTGCCAGCCGGCTACTAGGCAAAAAGAAAAAAATTATTATGTTTAAGAAATGAGATTGTAGGTGGAGGAAGAGGCTATAAAAGGGATGGGGAGGGACAAAGAAACTCACAGCAGGAACGCCACTGAGGTCGGCTCTTTGCCATGTCAGCAAGGGTAAATAATTTTTACTGTTCATATTTATGCATCAGAGTACAATTTGCGGTGACTCAAGTCAGTATTGCAATAGCTAGGTGAAGAGATTCTCAAGAGCCAACTACTCTAGACAATTCAGGCCACTACGCATAATAAAGGCAATTAGGTTATCTGTTAGCAATAAATCTTTCATTACACGGCGACCGCTGAAATATCAAGCCCTTCCATAATCTTGTAAGTTAATATCTGAAAGTTATCACAGCAACTATCAAAGAAATTTATGCCAAGTTATCAAAAATGGAAAGCGAACTTACCAACAGTCAAATAAGTGTGTTTGTCGCGATTCAAATACTCCAGCAATGGTGGCACCACATGACCGGCACCAAGTACGAGGACGTTTTTTCTAGCTTCTCCAGAGGACGAGTGGTGGCTTGTAGCTCTGCGTGTAATCCGCAACTTGTCTATATACGCGTATCTCGGAGTTAGCTGGCCGTTTGAAGTAATCACTGCCTGAAAAAGGTGGAAAAGATAGCTGATCAACAAATTCCCCACCAAACTGGTTGATTTGGTGGACTGAGTGTTCGCTGAGCTCGGCAGGTTGACTGCAAACCTTTCGTCACTACTCGAGGTGACATCAGCAGTGCGCATGTAAGTAGCAGAGTGGCGCTTACGAAGTGATCGTGAGTCAGACTCACGGTCACTAAGCTACCAACATTTGCTTCCATAGCGCAAATTGGTTGATGTCGAATCGGAAGGCATCGTCTATGACATGAAGACAGCGTTATCAGTTTTCCAAGTTCTAAGCAACAACGCATACAAGACATCATTCAGCAGCGCATTTGAGATCGACAGTTATGGCAGAGGAGCGCTGCATCGCCGTACTCCCTCCACAGAACGCGAGTGGACATGTGCTCACCCGGTATTATTTTCTGCATTCTTTCAGTGTGTCCCATTAAATGACCGACTGAGGGCACCTTTGGTCTTCGGACCTGGATGACACCTATGAACGTGGGTGAAGCCTATGGGCCTGTTGAGATATGATGCTTGGGGAATGAAGGGATGGCCCACTACTTATTTGGGTGGCTAGCCGAATAGGCTGGCTTGCTGAACAACCTCATCGTAGTGCCAGCTATATGGTTCGGGTTTACCGCGTTCCACTTACTAGTTAGGCGGCAGTGTTCAAGGAGTTGGTGGGTTTTCGCCTGGCAAGCGTTCGCCCTACAAAAAACCACAAATGTCTGTTTAACAACACTGGGACGTGGCGGTTGTGACGCCACCAACTAAAGTCAGCCCCTAGCTTATCTGGAGAGCCGCTTCAAATACATCATCAAGTATCTCTTTAGCGCTGGCGACACGATCAAAGTGCAGCAGAGAATTTACAAATCCCATAAACACGACTACACAATCATAAATGCACGCGCACAAACGTTCATATATAAAAATATGTGAAAATCCTACTGTTCCATGCTGTATTTTCCGATCCCATTTTGTACACGTAACATGATCATGCCTTTGCAGGCGTACCTTGCTTATTCGAGAAGGAACATTGTATTTATTTCTTCATGTATTAGTCATAGTAAGTAAGTGAACAAGAGCGTCAGAGCTATAGGACTTAGAACCCACAGTATCGAAAAACAGCCTGAGTAGGACACCATGTCATTGACAGCACAGTCGGCATACATTCAATGGAGGACGGTAAGCTTGTTCTGTGCCTGAGTGCTCCCGTTTATAAGTGTTGTTTATCAACCCACATGGTGTTTTATTAATCTGGTCCGCAGCTCGGAGCGACTGCACTCAGGTGCCGATGAAAACCGGTACGCCGAATTTCTAACTGTCCAATGGAGTAAATTGTTTTGCCGGCTGGGGCTAGATGGGACACACAGACTTGACATGTGTGCCTACAATCGCAGGGTGCACCAAGCAGTTCGGCTGTGAGAGGTGAACGTAAGCAAGCACCACAGCCACAATGGACCAGTCATCCGGGGATCACAGTGCAAGACAAAGGGAACGCACGCCGTTCGGCTGTGAGCAGTAAACGTTCGCCAACAGCCAAACCGCAATCGATCAGTAACGCGTGGATCGCAGCACCATACCAAGCGAACGAACGCCGAACTAATCATGAACCATACACCCCATAGCCGCACTGAACGTGTCATGCTTCGGTAGATCGGTATTCAGCATTCACCCAGGTGAAAAAGCCAGCAAAAGATTTCCCTGTGAAGTGAAGTAGGTCGTTGGGCTAGCAACTGAGAAAAATAGCTTGCCCTTATGTGTTGACCGGTCGATGGACGCCGCATTGATATCGCTACAAAATCCGTCATGGCCTCATGACTGGCTTCCAACAAACCAGCAAGCTATTATTATCCTGTTTTCGATGCTAAAGGGAATCATACTGCCGAGAGCAAATTGTAAGGTTACAGTGGTGTTCGCTTTAACATTTCGATCGTGTGTGTATGGGTTGCAGCTGAAAACGCACCCTTCCTGGGTGCATAAAAACGGTTTCTTGACTAGACTTGATGTGAAAACGCTCTTAGCTTTCAGTCTGTCCCGATGCACTGGTGGCACCATTAGAACACACATCAATTTAGTCGTAAATACAACTATTGCCCTCACAGTCAGACAATTACTTCTACAAATTGATCAGGCCTTCGATGATGTTTCTCATGTACAATCAAGCATATACATATAAGCATTTATTTACTTATCTTTACACGGAATATGTGAACTATCTACAAATACCAACGCATTAGCTGTTCGAAGTGCCCTCCGTCTTTTCAGCCACAGATGAGCGTGCACCGAATGGTGTTGACGAGCACTTTCTGCAATGTGTCAAAGGAAATCCGCCTACCTTCGTTCATAATATTCTCTTTCAGTTTATCCAAGTTTTTTGTTTTCGTTCTATAAAACATGCACTTCAAGTATCCCCATAGGAAAAAGTGCATGCGATTCAAAATCCGGTGATCGCGCAAACAATTCTATCAGTGCTCGCGACCGATCCAAATTCCACCAAATGTCTCGCTCAACTAGGCACGAATGGATCGAGCTGAATGTGCAGGTGCGCCATCTTGATGCCACCAAACGTTGTTCATTAACCCTTCCGACTGCAGCTGTGGTGGGACGCTGCTCTGCAACATTTCCATGTACGATGATGTCAAGAAACGTCAGACATTATTAATGTTAAGCAGCAAACTACCGGCCATACTCCTGGGAAAGGAAAACGCCCTAATGATTTTTAAACCAATCAACCCAGCCCAGGTGGTGAGCTTTGCGCTATGTTACACACGTGAAGCGCTACATAGTCGTGGGTTGGTTGTTGCCCAATCGTGTTGCGTATCCTGGCCATGCAGGAGAAAATCAGCTACATCGATGAACAAAAGTAAATGCACATTCACTGTTTAAAAACAAACGGAAGAACTCCAAAGGCTTTTGCGATTCGAATGTGTTCAACACTTGCACCTGCAACGGGCGGTACCATCGGAATTTTATCCTTCAATCTCCTATGCATAGAATACGGTGGGGCTTCGCAGTGTTGTGCGCGTTGCAGCATGCTGAGCTGTCTGTTACTGCATACCTCCCGCGCAAGCTGATACTTTATCCGTGACGGCAAGATGCCGTCCGGTTTGTTTGATGTTGCGAACGCTGCCAGTTTCTACAAATTTCTTCACCACTCGACGCACCTACCGTTCGCTAATGGGCCGCGTAACGCAGTGAATACAATTATAGCGCCTTGCTGTTTCCGCCGCATTGGATCCACACTCACAATACAGCTGCAAAATGATCACGCGCTGATAGACCGGCGCATTACTTGACTGCAGTTACTGATACATCGACGACACGGGTGTAAGCTCCTTCTCCATTTCTAGCTCAGCGAACCACTAAACACCGCGCAGGGAACCCTGTTTGCTGACATTTCACCTGAGTGAAGGCTGACTACCGATTGATCGAAGCAAGACACGTTCAGTGCGGCTACGGGATATCTGGCCAAAGTTCATTTCTCACAGCCGAACGGCGTGCGTTCCCTTTGTCTTGCCCTGCGGTCGACGCATTCTTTGCAAGTGGGGTGTTTACTTACGTTCACCTCTCACAGCCGAACTGCTTGGTGTGTCCTGCGATTGTAGGCACACATGTCGCGTCGGAATTTCCCATCTAACCCCATCCGGCAAAACAATTTACACCATTGGACAGTTAGAAATTAGGCGTACCGGTTTTCGTCGGCACCTGAGTGCAGTCGCTCCGAGCTGCGGACCAGATTAATAAAACACCCTGTAAGTGAATTAGGGCCTGACCTACAGTGCACATGTGACATCCCTCACCGTAAAGGTCATCACATCGCAGCTTTGGAACCATCCACTGGTTTGGAAATTCAGATGCATCTCCGTAACGTTTAACTAGCCTGTGCGTACGGTTCGCCGTCAATGCTTGGTTCTTTTTCTGTGCACAATCTGGTCTGCGTCTCGTTTGATGTATCTGATTACAGTGCACGAAAGTGGTCTGAAAGTTGAAAAATTGGCCGGCCGTCTGGAAATTCAACATCGTTTTGTTTTTTCGAGTAACAAATTGTGGTGGCAGGTTACTAATGGGTTTCTTGTAGAACTTTATTATAGGCCAAGTATTTCCTCACAAGTTGCATCTTTCTTCACCTCTCTGAAGATACTGACCTCTTCTGTCGCTCTTCTATCCGCACTCGTGGATTAGAAAGCAGTAGATTCAGCCTTGTACTGTGATTTTTGCCAAACATCAGCCCTGCTGGATACTTGCCCGTACCCTTATTAGGTGTGGTACGAGAGACAAATAGGAAACGATCCAGCTTTGTTTTTAGGATCCTTTCCCTCTGTTTAAACAATCTTCGTTTCACCGTCTGTACCGCCCGCTGTTCTAACCCGTTTGACGCTGGATAATAGGACGTCAAATTTAGATACTGAATCCTGTTGATAGTTACGGATCCGTTGAGCTCCGTGCTTATAAATGGGGACCCGATATCCGCGCATAGGGTTTTTGGGATATCCAAGGTTTCTGTTATACAATTTGGGAAGCCTTATTTGTTTGCTGATGATTTAAAGGTGGTCTGCACGTTTCCAGGTTCTCAGCGTACCGCTGAAGTTAATAATATCCAAGCGACTTGAAAGCAATTGAGAGATGGGCTGTTATGTGGCAGATGACATTTGCAACATCGAAGTGTAGTATTCTATCGTATGGATCTCAGATAGTAGCAGAAGTGTTCAGGCTTCATGGTGAAGTCATTCCCATCAACCAGTCTGTTCGTGGCTTAGGTTTAAGATATTCTATTTCGTTAAACTTTAGCGAACATACAAATCATATCGTGAAAAGGCTAAGCAATCGGTCGGGCTCATATGCCACCTGCTAACCTTGAAAGAAACCAGACTAATTGCTTTCAAAATCAGTACCTGGCCTATGCTTGAATGTTGCTGTGCTGTGTTCAGTAACTTGCGGAAGACTGACTTGAGAGCCATTGAAAACGTCCAACGCGCCTTTACGAAGCGCATATTTGG